AGCTGGAGCGGTGAACTCTGCGTCGGAAACGTCGGCGCGATCCCCCGAATCGGCTGGAGGGGGCTTTGTCTGCAGGATGGCCCCCAGGGGATTCGTTTCGCGGACTATGTCTCCTACTTCACTTCGAGCCAGACAGCCGGCGCTACCTGGGACCGAGGGCTTCTGTACCAGCGCGCTCACGCCATTGGCGCCGAAGGAGTAGCCAAGGGCGTCGACGTTGTCCTCGGGCCTGCCATTGGCCCGCTAGGTCGCCTTCCAGCCGGAGGTCGTAACTGGGAGGGTTTCGCCGTGGACCCTTACCTCAGTGGCGTTGCTGTCGCCGAATCCGTCAGGGGCATCCAGGATGCTGGTGCTATTGCCAACGTCAAGCACTACATCGTCAATGAGCAGGAACATTTCCGCCAGGCTGGCGAGGCTCAAGGTTACGGCTACGATGTCGACGAGGCATTATCGTCGAACGTCGACGACAAGACCATGCATGAGCTTTACCTTTGGCCATTTGCAGACGCTGTTCGTGCTGGAGCCGGCAGCGTCATGTGCTCTTATCAACAGGTGGGGGCAATATCATTCTCTCCACTTCCCGTGCAGACGGTTCGCTGACCGACCTTTTCTGTCTAAGATCAACAACAGTTACGGCTGTCAAAACTCCCATCTTCTGAATGGGCTCCTCAAGGACGAACTCGGCTTCCAGGGATTCGTCCTCAGCGATTGGCAAGCACAGCATGCTGGTGCTGCCACTGCCGTTGCTGGACTTGACATGGCTATGCCCGGTGACACTCGCTTCAACACCGGAGTCGCTTTTTGGGGCGCTAACCTTACGAACGCCATTTTGAACGGCACCGTTCCCGAATATCGTCTCGATGACATGGCCATGCGAATCATGGCGGCCTTCTTCAAAGTTGGAAAGACCCTGGACGACGTTCCTGACATCAACTTCTCGTCTTGGACAAAAGACACCATCGGCCCGCTGCACTGGGCGGCCCAGGATAATGTGCAGGTCATTAACCAACACGTTGATGTCCGCCAAGACCACGGCGCCCTTATTCGCACCATCGCTGCCCGCGGTACTGTCTTACTCAAGAACGAGGGATCACTGCCTCTGAACAAGCCGAAATTCGTTGCTGTCATTGGTGAAGATGCTGGCCCTCGGGCTGTTGGTCCCAATGGCTGCCCTGATCAGGGTTGCAATAACGGCACTCTGGCTGCTGGGTGGGGATCTGGCACCGCCAGTTTCCCTTATCTCATCACTCCTGATAGTGCTCTTCAGTTTCAAGCCATTTCAGACGGCTCGCGATACGAGAGCATCCTGAGCAATTGGGACTATGACCGCACAGAGGCCTTGGTTTCCCAGGCGGACGCGACTGCTCTGGTTTTCGTCAATGCAAACTCAGGCGAAGGTTATATCAGCGTTGATGGAAACGAAGGTGATCGCAAGAACCTCACGCTCTGGAATGGAGGAGACGAGCTTATTCAACGAGTCGCTGCGGCCAACAACAACACCATCGTCATCATCCATTCGGTTGGGTCCTGTCCTAGTCACAGACTGGCACGGAGAACCCCAATATCACGGCTATCATCTGGGCCGGGCTACCCGGACAGGAGTCTGGCAACTCTATTGCCGATATTCTTTACGGCCGCGTAAATCCTGGTGGCAAGACACCTTTTCACTGGGGCCCACTGTGAGAGCTATGGCGTTGACGTCCTAAGAGAGCCCAACAATGGTAATGGTGCTCCCCAGAGCGATTTCGACGAGGGAGTCTTCATCGACTACCGTTGGTTTGACCGGCAGTCGGGTGTCGATAACAATGCATCAGCACCGAGGAACAGCAGCAGCAGCAGCAACGCCCCAATCTTCGAGTTTGGCTATGGCCTTTCGTACACAACCTTTGAATTCTCCAATCTTCAAATTGAGAGGCATGATGTTCAGGATTACGTCCCTACGACTGGGCAGACCAACCCTGCGCCGAGATTTGGTGCTAACTACAGTACAAACTACGACGACTACGTCTTTCCCGAGGGCGAAATCCGTTACATCTATCAACACATCTACCCATACCTCAATTCCTCAGACCCAGAGGAGGCATTGGCCGATCCTAACTACGGCCAAACTGCAGAAGAGTTCCTCCCAGAGGGCGCTCTTGATGCCTCACCGCAACCCAGGCTCCCAGCTTCTGGAGGACCTGGAGGAAACCCGATGCTTTGGGACGTCATATTCACTGTCACCGCGACCGTGACCAATACGGGTGAAGTTGCTGGCGACGAAGTGGCACAGCTTTACGTTTCTCTTGGTGGACCGGACGATCCAATTCGAGTCCTCCGTGGGTTTGACCGCATCAACATCGCACCTGGAGCCTCGCAAACCTTCCGTGCGGAACTCACGCGCCGGGACCTCAGCAACTGGGACGTTGTCACGCAGAATTGGTTCATCAGCCAGTACGAAAAGACGGTTTTTGTCGGGAGCTCGTCCCGAAACCTCCCTCTCAGCGCTCGCCTCGAATAGGATTGCTGCTGCGGGCGTTGTGAGAGACAGTATGTGTGTCGGATGGACCCCGACTGTGACCCTGAAATCGAAATCTGTGAGGCTATCTGTGGGTATGAGCTAGTTCAAATTGAGGAGCTCCCAGCAGCGTGGAGAACCCAGGAGCCAAGCGAAGACGAAGGCAATGGACAGCCTGATCATGAGACTTCAGACGATAACGAAGGGTTCCCTGATGACGGCGAGCTTTCCGACGACGACACGAAGGCTGAACTGCCGCAGAAAGACGACAGGGTCTCTTCTGACGAAGATGACGAAGATGACGAAGATGAATTATCGAGCAAAGACGCAGAACAAAAGCAAGGCAGCCGCCACCTTCGGTACATGGAACAACGTAAGATCAATCAGTTGCTCGCAAAGATTTTGAGAATCCTTCGTAATATGAACAACACTCGACCGAGACGGTCGATGGACGACCCTTACCATGACGTTAACCATTCACGAAAATACTCTGAGCCCGCAGACTTAATACCAAATCAGGACTGGCAGTGCTTCCTTGCGCTTTCAAAGGCGGCGGAGGTTGAACAGGATAGTTTGTCAGAAGTCTATGGTGCTACCTATATGTGCCTGGCAGCTGCACAAGAGGAAACTGTTGACAGCAATAGGCCCTCCCATGGCAGCATCGTCCAGATTTTGCGCTACGACTTGAGCGTACTTAGGTCGATCGTCGATGTCGACCTTGAGGCGTGAGCTGCATTATGGTTCTGCCTGGTTTCTCTGTCGTCTATGACCATGCAAGGGATGGGCTACCACTACAATAGTACTAGTAAACATAATTGAAGTATACTTTTTCCTTTCGCCTGTGCCTGCGTGTCTGTTGTGACAAGTATGGTTTCTCGGGAATCTAAAGTGTAATGCTGGAAAGTATGTGAAATGGTGTCAGCGACATGGTGCTCGGGTAAACAACATTAGGCTGCAGAGCCATAGTCTCGCTTGTAGCCCTCAAGAACCTCGAGGCTGACATCAGAGCCCCCACAGACGATGACGACGATGTTCTTGTCGCGCCATTCTTCGTCAGTCAAGCCCCGGCCAAGGCGTTGCTGCAACAGGCCGTTGTAGCAAGCGGCGATGGTTGCACCGCACGCAACCTCAACTACGAAACGCGTGTCATCAGCAAACTGCACGCAGGCCAGCGCGGCCTCGGAGTCGTCAACAGCGATACTCTCGAGCTCGGCAGGACCGTCCGCCGTAGCGTTTGTGACTTCAGAAGGGCCGAGGCGGGCCTTGCGTTGAGCCCACTCCCACGTCTTGGACGAGACGCGGACGGCACCCAGGCATTTGGCGATGGAGGTGATGCCGGGCAGGGTGACGTGCTCGGCAGCCTCGACGCTGGCGTTGAGGCTGTCAGCGCCGCGTGTCTCGACTGCGAGGATGGAGGGCCGCCGCGCCTCGGGCCATGGTGGGTTCGAAGAGGCGCGGACGGCCTCGTGCTTCTCGATACCATGGAACAGGCCGTTCAGCAGGCCGCCGCCGCCGACGGAGCAGGCTATGCCGTGGATGGCGCCGGGGGCCTGCCTCACGAGCTCGTCGACAATGGTGGACGCGCCGTCCCAGACGTGTGGGTGGTCGAAGGGCGGCACGTAGGCAGCGTCGTCGCGGCCGGCCACGAGGTTCTCGCGCAGGTGCTTATCGGCGAGGGCCCAGTTTGCGCCGACCTGCTGGACCTCGGCGCCGAGGAGACGGAGCTTCGAGACAATGAGCGGGGAGGACGAGGTCGGCGTCACGATTGTGGCGGGCCGGTTGAGCGCGTGGGCCGACGTGGCGCAGGCGAGGCCCGCGTTGCCGCCGGAGGAGCTGTAGAAATGCAGGTTCTGGCCATCGGGACGGGAGGCTATCTCTTGTAGCATGAGGTTACCGATACCGCGGGACTTGAAGGAGCCTGAGGGCTGGAGGTTCTCAAGCTTAAGGTAGATGTTGCTGTGTTTCATATGTCAGGATGCAGCATGTCACGCACAGGGAGCGTGAACGCCTTGGATAACGTACCAGCCGGCGGCCCGCGACAGGTGAGGGGATGGGATGAGTGGTGTTTCCATCCACGGCAGACTTGTGTTAGTGGTTGTAGATCCCATTTTTCTTATCTTTTTCCGATTTTTTTTCGATTACTTTGAGTATGGTATATGCGAGAATGCGATGTCAATTGATGTTTCAGTTGGTTATTGAACGTCTACTTAAGGTCCACAGCTGGAGGGTCGACGTTTGCGCCCTTAGGATGACAGGGCATTGCGAAGTGGGGAGACCCCGCCAGGGATCGATCTCCAGAGATATCCGTAGAAGACCTTGCCGTGACGAGAGCACACGTCCATTGTTCAACGGTTTTCGAATGAGGGCTGAAGCCAGATATGCCCAATGGCTCACATTCTGGGATGCAGTTGTAGGTAAGGTGCTCAGGAGGCGTAGACTCAAGTTGCAAATTTCAATCAGGAGAAACAGGTCTCGCGGTCGATTGAGAGACCATCGATCGGCTGCCCTACGGCGCTAGCGGTTAAAGACCCCGAAGGCGTTATGGGCCGCCCCTGGTTTGGTCACCGAGCGGCTGTGCGTTCTTGCCCCAGATACACCGTGCCACGGCGGCGCTGTTGCATAGAATTTGACCCTACTGATGATCATGCGTCTTCTCTGTATCCATGAGGTTGCTCCAACGTGCAGTATGACGCTACCTCAGTCAGATTTGGCTGACCGGCTAACTTTACCTCGAGGTTAAAGGATGTCATACAAGGTGCCATCAGTTGCAGCTTTTCTAAGCACTCGTGGCCCTCATCTTCAGGACAGGCTCCTGCTTACATGTGATACTCTCAAGAAGACTCCCATCTTATGCTACGAACGACTTGTGCGTGATGCAAATGCATATGCGCGGCTTTTCACAAAAATATCGCAGACGCTGGATCCCTGCAATAAATCGCCCCGCCCACCCGTCCTCATGGGTGATGATTGTCCTCGTACAAACAAAACAAAGTAATGTGTCCGTGGCAGTGGAACATTTACCGAAGAGGCCCCCCTGAAAAGCATGGGGCTGTCCTGGTGAACACCTCGTTGGGAGGTTCTCCATGCGTTGTCACCCGAGGCCAGACATGTCGCGCCAGTCCATCTTAGTAACTAAATTTGTACGCGACCCTACCGTTCGGGCAGTTTCATCAACATGAATCAACCACGTCGAGTCGTTGGTCGCGGACCACCTGATCCTGATCCTGGTCGCCCCAGTGAGCCCTCGCCTCCGCTTCCCCATGTGCATGATCCCCTCAAGAACCTGCTACCAACCGCGTAGTCTGACACAGCAGCGACCTTCTCAAAAGACCAGCTCCCGCCAAAGATACCTATACTGATAACAAGACTAGCAAGCTGCCGGCAAGTACGTCGCAGGCGCCTGCCGATACCAGGCCCATAGGCCCCGAGTTTGGCAGGCCAGGGGCCTAGTTCAGACAGGCGCGGAGTTGACCTTGTATCGCCCCGCCTGTTGGTGATTCCGGTCTGCGTGCTTGCATATACAACGCGGCCAGGCTCATAGGCAAGGTGGCTGATTCATGGCAGAAGACGAGTATGCAAAGCCTTAAAAGCGGCTGCCTGCGCCTGGCCTGATCCGAGTTTGCGGTTTAACGAACTTGGAGACAACTCATACTGCACAGAACCTCTCCTTACCTACAGAAGACCTCATTCCCTAGCCTCTACCACTATGAGCAGTGACGTGAGTTATCTCCGGTGTCCAACTTCGCATTATCGCGCTAACACGACTACCTAGAACCCCGAGCCGTTTACCCGCTGGTTCGGTTCGCCCTCACCATCGCGAACGCAACCATCTCTTCGACCTTTCGATTTGAGTTCTCAAACTCGTGACCAAGAGATCCCTCGCTATGTGCAAGCCTCCCCTGAATCGACTACAAGCCGTCAAGCCAGCCCTCAGTCAAATGAAGACATGCAGTTCACAAACACTTTTCCCCTCAACAATGGCCCCCTCGCTTTCCGTACGGGGGCCAGTTCAACAACTGGTCAAGCAGCACAAGGTCTCTTCCCAACACACCCTCAATCGAGTGGTGTGATAGGCATCACCAGTCAATCTTCAAACACCGAATCGCGACATTCCTAGAGATACATCGCAGTCGCCTGGCCGTCTCGCCCAAGCTAGGTTTGAAATCCCAACACCCTCGAATGTCTTGCCGTCTGTGGAGAATTACACCAGTATATCTACAGATGGCAGCGAGTCTGCGATGCCTTCTCGGGTCTCCTTCATCGCACGCAGTCGCTCAGGCACGCCGATAGTATCTGTAACCCCTCCTGTTAACGATTCGCGCCCGACACCTCAGTCGAGACCGACCACTGCGACAGGCTCCTTTCAGCTTGATGGCATGAGAGAGGCTCTGGTCGAGGCAGAGAGACTGCCCGTCCCAAGGACTACTAGCCTTCCACCCCTGTCATTGAGCCCCTCTACGCAACATCAACGAAGACGATCTAGCTCGCACGTTAATGTCATTCCGTATCTAGTCGAGGACGAGGACCCACCAGAAGGTCAGCGGTTCTTTCATAAGTCCTTCCAAGAGGGGTTCGGACAGGCCAAGCAGCTCATGTTAGACATCCGGGATGTCCTCCGCAGTAGTCTTTTACATGAGGAGCCTGACTCAACCATTCAAGGGCTTCATACTAAAACCAGTCAACTCTCTAACTTCAGGTGCCTTTCGACTCGGACTGTCGGCTTTGTTGGGGATTCGGGCGTCGGCAAAAGCAGCCTACTCAACAGTCTTCTTGACCGACCAGGGATAGCAAAGATGGTGAGATTTTGTATCTCATGAACCTCTCTAATGCTGACTGAAGCTACAAAGGGCAATAATGGTGCTGCGTGCACATGTGCTGCAACTGAGTACCACTATCATGATAGGGGCGACTTTCGGGTCGAAGTGGTCTTACTCTCGCAGAGCGAGATTGATGAACAAACTTTTGAACTACTACGAGCGTATCGTCAGTACCATCTCCAATTTACGTCTGGAGGGCAGTCCAACGGTCTGGAGCCCGATAACGTAGCGGTTGAACCAACGGCCGCCATCAATACATTTCAAGCAATGTTTCGGGGCCAGCTGGAAGATCCATCTTGTCTCTTGCGTCCGAACGAAGGAGCGGTTCAGACGACATTGCGCCAATGGGCTATTCAGGCTAGGCCAAGTCACCATGAGGGCGTCACCACTTGTGAGACCTTGCAGCATTGCTCTCAGTTCCTCGAGAACCTGTCCTCAGAGACAGTGGGGTCGCAAGACCCTGCGGTTTGGCCGTATATCAAGAGGATCCGGTTTGTGAAATCTTGCTACGCAGAACCTTGCTCATCTTGCTGACTCTCAGACAGAGTATATCTTCGGGCTCACATCTTGAATCGTGGCCTCATACTGGTCGATCTTCCTGGTAAGGATATATGAGCCGATCGAATGGGAGCGCCCCTAATTTCTGTCCTTCCAGGCCTCCGCGATATCAATAAAGCACGCCTCCGTATCACGCAACGGTACTTGGTCGAACAATGCGATGAAATTCTGGCAGTGTGTCACATAGGCCGTGCTACCACTGATGCCGGCGTGGTTTCAATCATCGATCTCGCGAGACAGGCTAAGCTGACCAATATTGGTATAGTCTGTACTAACACTGAAGTCAGTTGATTGATTGCGAATAGAGCCAGTAAGAGCGCTGCTGACCTGCTGATCTATCAGAACATCAGAGCAGAGGAGACAAAGAGAGGGCGCCCCGACTTGGCCGATGACATCCAACAACATGTTGACAACATTGTGAATCTGGAGTCAAAGATCGACGAAGCCAACGACTCTGCAGACGAATGTGAAAACATTGATGATCCCTCGTATTCAGATATACGTCGAGGGAGGGAGCTGCGTCGAAAGATACAAAAACTGAGGTAAATTGCACGTACACTTCGAAAAGCAAATCTTTCTGACCTGCGATATTACCAGGAATCATAAGAAGTCAGAAGAACTGAAGTGAGGCACAACGGAAAAGACACAACCTTTGAATACTAGCTCATATTTGGCCAGACTCAGCACTTTCCTCATTGAAAGCCGGAACAGGCAGGTCATCGAACAATTGAGGTCTCAATACAGCTCATCTGTGCCGAATGGGGATCTGGAAGTTCATTGCGTCAGTAATACTTTATACAGCGATAAGCGGGACAAAACGCGGGACGAGGCGCTACCATTTATTAACCTCAGCGGTATTCCAGCTTTGAGAAGGCACTGCATAGGACTTGTGGCGGACGCTCAGTCACGAGAAGTACTCAACTACATCCAAAAGGATATCCCAGCTCTCATTTCGGAGCTTGATATCTGGGTGCAAAACGGAGCTGGCACTCTGGATGCTGAGAGAAGGCGTGATATACGTGAGGTTGTCAACGCTGTGGAACATGGAATCCAGTCTGTTCGTCCTTCCGTCCTGGAACTGTCGTGGGTCGACAAGCTGACACATTGCAGGCTCTGAACAAGAATTCAAGCCGTATTAGGACCATCAGTAGCCTTGCTAACGCCACTTTTGAGTCCAAAGTGTATAAGGGTATGTATCACTTTAGATCAGACATGTACGTAGGCTAATTTCATGGCTCTGGAGACCAACATATTGAACGTTGGGTGGAAGGTGCTGTTCAGGCTTCCCGAGTGTGGCATGGTGTAAGTTGTCTATCCTCATTCTAACACTTCCAGTGATTCTGTTGCTGACTTCACCTAGTGGGCCCCCAGTAAGGAAGACAATGTTAAGCCCCAAACATGAGGACATATGTATGTGCTAATGTGGGTTTAGTGACCTACAAGATGTTTTGCGGAAACTTCGGGTACCACTCGACGCCCAAGCAAGCGGTTCAAAGTTGGAACCATCAGGCCATGCATGCTATGACCCTTGATCTGAGTACGCGGTGGCGTGACTTCAAGTTTCAGCTTGAAGGACACCATGCGCGGGTTCTTGATACTGTCAATTCCGTTCAGGCAGATGCTGTTCAGAAGATCGGTAAGCGCCGAAAATTATTTAGTATCAAAGCCTAGCTTACCATTGCAGACGATGAGCTGTCTGAGTTTCCTGCATTCATATCAACAGTTCTGGGGGAGGTGGTTAGCCGCCGGATCCAGCTACTTGCTGAGGATATTGAACGACACTATACAACCCTGCTTGAGGATCTTTGGTAAGTTTGTTCTTATCAAATATCCTTGATTACGCATTGATAAGTGGCAGGATTCTGGAAACGAATGCTCTCACTGGCATTTGTACATCCATATTTGGAAAAGCCATGGAGTCGTCCTATGACCAGGCCAATGCCGATAGCGGGTCGGGGAGCGACCAGAGACGGAAAGCTGTAATTCGAGAGACCCTCAGCCGCGACATGCTGTTCAAAGATCACATGACTCAGTTTCGACAAGGGTTTCGAAAACACACGTCTAAATGGCGCGTCAGCCTGGCCGATGCACTGGACCACCGGTTGAGTGAGTTGTCAGTGACCTTCGACATGATTAGAAAGGATCACGCCGCGCGAGAAGGAGATCAAGACCCGCAGTTCCGGAATTGCTTGGCGACCGAGCTCAGCAACTCCAAGACGGAGATGAGGAGGATCAATGCTATGGTGGGGAA